CCACCTGTGCCGCCCATGCTACATTTCAGACGTGTGATTCCCACGCGGCTGCCCCCACCTGATACCCACATGTGCTCTCGCACTGCAACGGAGCCAATCAGTGGGCTTCATCGCGGCCCTGTGGATGTGCGGGTTACTGTCTAGCCACCTTGCTCAGCTCTCTCTGCATTGCACCTGCTCTCCTAAGAAAAGCCTTTCAGTGTGTGCTTTGCTTGACGAAGCCTTATTTATTAAAAGATAGTCTTCCCCTCCTTCCCCTCCCCACAAAGCCTTTGCTGGTGCTGCCTGGCCCTTGGCTGGTGAGCTCACAAATCTGTCGCTCTGAGCAGGTTAATATTATATATATTTATATATTTGCAAAGTTAGATATACAGAGAGGAGGAGACAGAGAAATATTTCCCCTCCATTGAGTCACTCCCCAAGTGGCCGCAACAATGGAGCTAAGCCAATCTGAAGCCAGGAACCTCTTCCGGGTCTCTAACATGGATGCAGGGTCCTAAGACTTTGGGCTGTCTTCGACTGCTTTCCCAGGCCACAAGCAGGGAGCTGGATAGGAAGTGGGGCTGCCAGCATTAGAACTGGTGTCCCTAGGGGATCCTGGCACAGTCAAGGCGAGTACTTTAGCATCTAGGCTACTGTGCCAGGGCCCCAGAGCAAATTACTAACGGTGCTCACCTGCATGTCCATCTGGCACTCAATGGTTTTCATTCATATTGCTAGGTTTGCATTTTGAGCTGCTAACAATGGTCTGGGTGGTAAATATTCGCTTAGTGGGTGCTGCTGATGTGCTTGGTGGCTCACGTGAATCATCTCATTTGACAGGTTGGCACAGCCTGACTTCTGTATTCCCGGAAGAGCAACTTTGGGGATGCAAGTGGTGGGAGGCCAAGGGCAGGGGTGTGCTTAGCAGACACCCCATGGCTGTGAAAACCTGACCCACTCCTACCACAGGCCCCAGCAGGCTTATTTCAGGGGTTACAGTGAGTGAGGGCAGGTTACTGCCAAGAGCAGGGCAGGCAGAGGATGGGGGTGTCCTCCTCTTGGTCACACGGTCCTCAGAAACCCAATCTCTGGGGAACATTAATGGCAAAAACGACACTTTCTGAAGCTGAAGGTATTTGTCAACCATGACTCCTTCACAAGTTGCAATAAAAAGAGATTTTGGAAGGATGTACACCAACATGTAAAAGAGTTGGGATAGGTAACGGAATTACAACTTTGGATTCTGAGAACATCTTTCTTGGCCTCTGCCTTCCAGTTTTCTATATAAAAAAAAAATTTTTTTTTTTTTTTAAATTCTCTGCTCGTCTGGCAATGTGGTGAAGCAGCTTAGGCTGCCCCTGGAGTCACTGGCATCGTATACCAGAGTCCCAGTTCCAGACCCAGCAGTGCCACTACTGATCTAGCTCCCTGCTAACACACCTGAGAAGGGAGTGCACAATGCCCTAAGTACTTGGATCCCTGCCACCCATGTCGGAGACTTGGATAAGGTTCTTTTAAACATTATTTCTTTATTTGAAAAAGTTTGCGGCAGAGACAGATCTTCCATCTGCTGCTTCACTCCCTAGATGGCCCCAACAGCCAGGACTTGGCCAGGCTGGAGCCAGGAGATCCAGCCAGGTCACCCACAAAGGTTGATTTAGTTTGAAACTTATTATCCTTTGTTAAAGCAAGAGATACTCACAAAAAAACACAAACCTAGATCAATGGCAACCCATGATATCAAGCAATCATGGGATACATCAGGCAATATTCCAAAGAGAACTTTTAAATTTAAATTGTGCCAAGCAGACAATGCAATTAAGCCAAAGCCAGTGTGAACCATATGGCATAAGAGACATCTATGCAACCTGAAATTAATCTATGAGATGCACTGTGTAGATCTCCACCTAAAGATGGTCCGATTTTCACCCCTGAGCACTCAACATTCATGGAATAATGGGCATGGCACTTCAGCACACTCAGCTATCCAGCTTGCCCTCCATGATTATGAGGTGAATATAAGACACTATCTATTGTATTCATTATGAAGGGCAAAGAACCATTATGTGGTAGGTAGCTGGCACTAGTAGAATACACACACACACACACACAACCAATTGAAAAGCAAAAGCTGCAGCCCCAAACTCATCAAATGACTGCTTCAGTTATTTCACTGCTCATGGAAAAAGAAAGCACAGATGAATTTCAATGATGTTTCAATTGTACAAACTCAAGAGGGTAGCAAATGCCACAGTAACCACTGAGGTATGTTATTTGTGTACTCCAGATTATGACAGGACTACGATCTACACAGGTCAATTACCTTCAACTTGGTGTAGCTTTCATGCATATCGTGCATAAGAAATAGCATAAAAGAGGACTGCAAATTACAAGGCTTTGTATAAACACCGAACTCTGATGAATGCGCTTTCTAAATGGTAAATTAAATCATTGCTTGAAAAGCTTTGTATATTTGAAATATAAAGCTTTTCATTAAAATTTGAGTATGTAAGGATTATGCAAATCATCTTTATTTTGTCTGACTGGCTATCAAGTTATTAACATAATGCACAAATTATTTAAAACAGTAGATAGTGAGTATATAGCTTATTTTAAATAATCAAGTGGCTTGTTAATATTCATTAGCCATCATCTATTTAGTCTCTGAATTAAGCATTTTCTAAGCCTCAAAGCATTAATGCAGTATGTATTTTATATCCAGTCACCCTTCATATCAGTTTTCTATTTTTTTTAAAGATTTATTTACTTTTATTGGAAAGTCAGATATACAGAGAGGAGGAGAGACAGGGAGGAAGATCTTCCATTTGTTGATTCTCTCAAGTGGCCGCAACGGCCAGTACTGAGCCAACCCGAAGCTAGGAGCCCAGAGCTTCTCCTGAGTCTCCCATGTGGGTGCAGGAACCCAAGGCTTTGGGCCATCCTCGACTGATTTCCCAGGCCACAAGCAGGGAGCTGGATGGGAAGCAGGGCTGCCAGGACTAGAACCGGTACCCATATTGGGTCCTGGTGCATGCAAGGCAAGGACTTCAGCTACTTGGCTATCACGCTGGGACCATCACTTTTCTTCAGTGTTTAATTTATGGCACCGTTTTGCCTTTCTATGAGAGCACTTACTTGAAGTGTATAAACAGTTAGGAAGATCACAAACCCCCTCCACATTCTATGATTCCTGGAAACACAGCATTTAGAAAGCCTGCATGAAATCTTATAGGAGAGGATAAACTATAGAAACAGAAACACTTAATTTCAAGAAACTGTATGACACTTGTGGCAGTTAGATTTAGATGTGTCTATCTGGAACATGAGTTTGCACTTTAAATAATAAAGCCTAACTAAATAGAATCCTTTTTATAATTTTAAATAGTAAACTCTGACTGAATGGACTTTAAGAACTTTTAAAACAAACAATTAATGGTAAGCAAGTGGCCCTTCAGTTAAGTGCCATTAGAGGTAATGCACAGTTTTTGTTTGTGTTCTCTCATCGGCATCACCACAGTAATCTTAGCAGTGGCGTAGAGGAGGACTCGTCAAGCTGATAGAAATGCGGTCTCCCAAGCTTTGGGGATGAAAAGACGACAGTCAAGCTCAGTAGCAGGGCTGGAATCATACTGTGTAAAGTGTCTAGGGCACAGCATGATGTTCTCTGGATTGCATGAACGAGGCCTCTTCCCCCCTGCAACCAGCCCAGGGCTTTTCCCTGTTCAAGCTGTTGGCCAGCACCCTAGCAGTGGGTTCAACTAATGCACAAAGTAATTGCAAATAAAACAGCTGTAGCTATACGATACTGAAGTGAAAATAAAAGCCCTTTAAGCACAATATCTGTGGCAAATCAAAGCAACTCAAAGGCTTTCAATAGAGAAAAATACCTTTATAACAAACTTTCATCCTTGATCTACAATGGTCTGCATTAAGGACTAGTAATAGCAAACGAAGCACAAGGAACTACTTAATAGATCACTCAAGACAGTGTTTTCTGAGGAAGCCATCACATGACAGAATGCATCTCTGTTAGCCAATGCAGCCATAAATAAAAATGTTAATGAGGTAAAATTGGTCATGATGAGAGTAAAACAATATCAAGAAATTGAAAAGGTTCTTAAGCTTAATTCATTTCAATAGATTTTGAAGTAAAAATCATGAATGCATCATAGCAAATCTTACTAATTAATCCAGGAATCTATTATCATTTTTTGCTTCTTTGCTTTAATTTGTACATCTCTATCCTTAATTTAGGGATTACCATGAATAAAACATGAAAATTAGTGCATCTTCTTCTGCAATCATATATGTCCTATTCTACACAATACCTCATCTGTCCTCATATTTTGTTCATACTTTAATACACATTATTTGGGGTTCATGACCTTGGCAACAGGGGTTTTTCTTACAAGATATACTCACACATCCGAAAGTGGTCAATCAGTCGTTCAGGAATAAAATGAAATGAATCTAACTTTGCAGAAATATGTTAGAGCTAAAGGCTCGAAACGTATTTTAACTGAGACATTTTAAAATTCCATCCTTATCCTCCTGGATAGGGAAATTTTCAAGTTATACACCCTCAGTCTGACTTGCAGTCTGATTGGATCAATCCTTTGAAAGTTAACTGTTGCCTGCTAAAAGTATTTTGATTGTATGGATAATAAGCTATGCTGTGAATCTGTAAAAGGCCTTCTTTAGGCTACAAGAGGATTATGACCACTGCATTCAAAGCCTGTATCCAACACAAAAGAAGCAAAGGATAGCAACACTACAACCCTTAACTCCCACAAGTGAATTGCTATTATTTAAGATCACCTGTTTTTATAAATGGGCTTTGGTGGCCTGAGCTTTAGACTGCTTTAGCCACAAACATAGAACCTACACCTGCCTTATAACACTACAAATAGAATGGGCCACTCCTAGGCCACAATTCATTTGTTTTTCTCCAAGAACATTGAACTTCCAAAGCATAGAAATCTATAAATTCAAATGATGTGTATTCAGATAAGACTCACCTTTAGAGAATCAAAACAGGCCACCACACGACCATTTTCCACGTGGCAAACTCTTGGCGGATGGGCAAACTTGCAATCTGCATCGGCTCGAGAGCAAGTCCCTCTCTGAAACTCTCTACAGACTTCTAAAGTCAGCCACTTGGCATCACGAATGAGGGCAACATTGACAGGCGTCATAGTGAAAGAAAATTAAAATCAAGTGCACCCTCTTTAGGACAACGTTCTTTACCTCCGATTATTAAAGGATTAAAGATGAATGCAAGCTAAATATGACGAGCTAGCAGGTTGCTTTGGTGAAATGTCTGATTATTAGCACTTAGATTTTCACTCAAGTCCAATCTGGTCTAGCCAAACAAAAAGCCAATTATAAAAATAAACGTTGGATCCGAATAACTAAAAATCAAATTAGAGACCAACTCCTAAGAAGGCAACTGTAAAGGTTAAGACACTGAATGTTTTAGTGTGTTCCTTTGCCGAATTTACTTCAAATAATTGGCAGACTTTCAAAAGAATTCTGTGCACTCTAGTTGATGTTTTCAATTACTCTTACAGAAAGCATATGCTGCTGGCTGCCCTTCAATTTGCAGAATGATCTCAGGATGGGGGGGAGGTTGGCAAGGAGGAAACTTTTCCTCCCTATTTCCTAGCTTTAGAGAATAAGTTTGCGGAGAGGTGTCCCAGCCCCCACAAGGTTTTGTTGCAAACTCCAGAGGAGGGAAAATCACTAAGTAAATTGAGAATCACAGAAAACCGGAACTGGACAAGTTGCTGGCGATGAACTACAAGCACACCGGGTTTTGTGGGGCAGGGAGCAGGGAATGGGGAAGGGTATGGCAGGCAGAGGGTTAATAAAGAGACAGCTCTAGAGTAGAATCCAAGCAGCAGAATGTTCAGAAAAGGCACTTTTCCAAACCTGCAAAAAAAAATAAAAAATAAAATAAAATTAGCTAAAACAATGCCAGGCTTCTGGGTTTAAACTCTACACTAGGGAGCCAAGTAACCATATCCCCATTAAACGGTAAACATCTAGATACTGACCATGCAACGTGTTGCAGTCAGCTACTGTCAAGGACAGGGGAATTTTCCAGTGTAAAAGTACACTGTGAAATGAAGTAATCACTTAGATTTGCTGTTACCAAATGAGACTGGGTAAGAACCCATTTTGCAAATTCTTTTTTTTTTTCTAAAATATTGCTTGCTATTGATGTGTGCAAGGCAGAAATTCATTTTAGAGTACACTGCCCAGAAAGCACCATAGCACAACATGGTCACCTCTTACGTATTCATAATCTACTTATGTGTCCTCGGTTTCTAAAGGCTAAGAAACACATTTTCGTAAAGATTTATTTTTTTCGAAAGGTAGAATAACACAGAGAGAAGAAGAAGAAAAGGATCTGAGTCTCCCACGCAGGGAGGAGCAGCAAGGGCCCAAGCACATGAGCCATCTCTACTGCCTTCCCACATCCATTAGCAGGGAGCTGGATGGGAGCGAGAGCAGCCAGCACTTGGACTGGCCCCCCAAGTTGGGATGCTAGCAGCTTAAACCGGTGCAAAGCAGCATTTGCTCCTTCCTGCTAGACCTGTCTCTTTAAACTGCTTAATCACTACAGCCTGGTTGACATCTTGATGATCTCTTCCCCAAATCCAAAAAACAAGAATTGCTAAGACAATTTAAGTCGTTCTAAGAGGGTAACTAGAATGAGCATTTGAAATATAACTGTTGATAACAATTTAAAATAATCACACACAATGAGGTGGAAGCCCACTACCTGAGAAGTAGAGGATAAAAGTGTAAAGTGTGCCCCACATAAACAACAAATAATCCTTTGAAAAGTGAGTGCATTTTTCTCTGTGTATGATGTCTTATATCTCCATGAAGGGAAATTGAACAACTCAAAAAAAAAGGGCAGAAGGCACCGTAAACACCATAAAAAATAAATATTGAACATGTTTAAGGTTTGTAGCTTAATCCAATGTGTCAACCAGTAATAATTTTTATGTAAATTATCTGGGAATATAGACAGATTAATTCACTGGCATCAGGCCATGAACACATACTGACATAACACTAAATAAGTACCAGAAAAATCAACTAATTGCTAACTTCATCAAAAAAACAAATTCTTGGGCCAGGCATGGTGGCGCAGTGGTTAAGGTCCTCGCTTTGCACGCCCGGGATCCCATACGGGTGCCGGTTCTAATCCCGGCAGCCCCGCTTCCCCTCCAGATCCCTGCCTGTGGCCTGGGAAAGCAGTTGAGGACAGCCCAAACCTTTGGGACCCTGCACCTGCGTGGGAGACTCGGAAGAGGCTCCTGGCTTCAGACCGGCATAGCATTGGCCATTGCGCTCACTTGGGGAGTGAATCATCGGACGGGAGATCTTCCTCTCTGTCTCTCCTCTCTGTATATCCGCCTTTCCAATAAAAATTTAAAAATAAATCTTATTTAAAAAACCCAAATTCTTGGAAATATTCAATTTTGAACGTTTTCAATTACTTCACAAAATATGACTTTTATTTCTGTTATAAGATGAAATTCAATATCCCTTGACTTTTTTCTCTTTTAGATACCATTTAGAAATCAAATGCCCACAAAAAATCAAGCATAATGATCCGCATTGTGAAACTGCAAGTTAAGACACTGCCACATATTCAGTTTACAGTCTCACTCTTCTACTTCTAATCCAGCCCCTGGTTAATGCACTTTGAAGGCCACTGCCACCAACGTGGGAGACCTGGATAGAGTTTCTGGATCCTGATTTCTATCCAGGTTAGCCTTGACCATCATGGCCATGTGGGAGAACGAATCTCCAGATGAAAGATCTTTCTCTATAAGTCTGCCTTTCAAATAATGAATTTAAAAATAGAAAAAAAAATGAACAAAGCTAATCTATTCAAGAGGTAAACGTGTTTTTTTCTGAGTTGTTCATTGAGAAAATCTTTTGAAAATATACCTAACTTCGCCACCTTAGAAAAAAAAATTAAGTGTAGTTTAGTCTCTGGTTAAAGAGTGTCATCAATATCCATGGAAGTATTTTACTCTTCTTCCTTCAGTACAGACAGCTAATTGTCACTTCTCTTATTATCACAATATCTGCCAGAGTGGATTTTCTAGTTTCCTTCTGGAAAGCCCAATAGCCAATGATGAATATTGAGCAAATTATCCATTGAGTAATGAACCCAAAAGGCAGGTGCAAGGCTTTCCTCCAAAAGTTCTATTACAGCTCTTACTGCTGGTGTGGGGGCACTTTTGCATTCACTTACATGTAAGTTAGTGCTCTAGAGGGTTAAGGTTTTCAGGCAAATGATCTCTATAAAACTATTATATGAAAACAGCTTGATAGAGGAAATTCAAATCAAAACCACAATGTCATGAGCTGCAATCACTTGGTTGTCTATGTTGTAAGAAAATATCAGAGACATTGGTACTCTTGTACATAGTCTGTGGGTATGTAAAATAGTGCAACTGCTGTGACAAATCATTGTGGAGTTCCTCAAAATGTTTTGTATTGAAAGCAGGTATATATAAAAAAAAATCCTTCACAAGACTGTTCATGGTAACATTATTCACAAAAGCTATGACCAAAGTGTCTATTAAACAATGAGTGGATAAACAAATATGTTGTATACATACAATGAAATATTGTTTTGTTATTAAAAGGAAAGACCTGGGCTGGTGCTATGGCTCAACCTCCTAATCCACCACATTCAACTACCAGCATCCCATATGGGTTCCTGTTTGTATCCCGGCAGCTCCACTTCCCATGCAATTCCCTGCTTGTGCCCTGGGAAAGCAGTCAAGGACAGGCCAAAGCCTCAGAACTCTGAGCAGATGTGAGAGACCTGGAATAGGTTCCTGGCTCCTGGTTTCAGATCGGCTCAGCCCTGGCCATTGAGGCCATTGGGGAGTGAACCAATGAACAGAAAACCAAGATGGCTTAGATGGCTGCAACAGCTTTGTCTCTCTTGCTCTCTGTAAATCTGCCCTTCCAATAAAAATAAATAAACAAATCTTAAAAAAGTAGAATGACATTATGATACATCCTACAAAACAAACTTCAAAGACATTACAGTAAATGAAATAAGCTAATCACGAAATGCTAGATGTTGTCTGATTTACTTTATATGATATACTCATAACAGCCAAATCAAGAGAGATAGAATGTAGCTGAGTGGTTGCAAGGGGCTGGAGCAAGGGGAGAAAGGGGAATGACTACTTAATGGATATAAGATTGCCTTTAGTGGCAATGCAACTTTTCTAGAATGAGACAGTGATAAAATGTGCACATTTTTTTTTCAGTATCAGTAAGTCCTGATTTATGCATTATTTTTTCCCCATGGTAAAGAGGAGGGATGAGGAGAGTTAGCATATGTGTCACAAAGCAATTAGAAATGGGAAAGGAAGTACCCAGCACAGGAAAATCCAACCTTCAAATAAATACACCCAGTGACAGGGTTACCGAAGCGCAAGGGGACTTAGTCTCCTACAGTTCAGAACAATTGTTTGTCATAGATTCAATCTATTTACTGACATGTACACTTCAAAAGGATGAATTCTATACTACGTGAATTATGTTTCAATAAAGCAATTATTAGTTCTTTTAAAAAGATTTATTACTTATTTGAAATGCATTACTCCATGAGAGAGAGAGAGAGAGAGAGAGAGAGAGAGAGAGAGAGAGAGAAAGAGAAAATCTTTCATCTGCTGTTTCACTCCTTAGATGGCTGCAACAGCTAGAACTGGGCCAGGTTGAAGCCAGGTGCCAGGAACTCCATCTTGGTCTGGCTGCAGGAGGTGGCTTAACATGCTGTGCCACATGCCACTTCCTAAAGCTATTTCTTAAAAAAAAAAATTTAAAAACCCCTATATATAACAACTAAAAATACTTCTAAAAAGTCTCAAAGTCTAATGAGCTATGGATTGACTGAAGTTTTTTTAGGTTCTCCCAAGACATAAATTCTTCTCATTAATATTACTGAGTTGAATTTCAAGAGAAAATGAGTACTAGTAATTGGCTAGCACATAAAAGCTGCTCCTAAAGAGTGTGCTGTAAGAGTTGGCAAATTTACATTGAAAGACATATTCAAAGTGAATCCTGCAATTAAATTATGAGTTTTGCATAGTATTTTCATATATATCTTCCATGAACTTATTGAAGACACTGCATAGATTCAAAAATATTTTTGTAGAAAAATAAAATTAGCTTTTAATTCCATTT